TTTTGAGATAGAGTCTTGCACTGTCACCCAGCTGGAGTGCAATGGTGTTATCTCAGTTCACTGTGACCTCTGCCTCCCAGGCTCAAGTGATTCTCCTGACTCAGCCTCTGGAGTATCTGGGACTACAGGGAGGCATCACCACACCTAGCTAATTTTTGTATTTTAGTAGTGACAGGGTTTCACTATATTGGCCAGGCTGGTCTTGAACTCCTGACCTCAAGTGATTCACCCACCTCCACCTCCCGAAGTGCTGGGATTGTCAGCATGAGCCACTGTGCCTGGCAAGTCAGATGATGTTCTTTAACCACTTAGAAATTGCAGGCTGCAGAGGTGCAATGGTCTATGGTCTTAGAGAACAACATGAAGAAAAATTATTGCTGACACAGCTGCTTAAGTGAAAATTCACAATCTCGCCTTATTCTGACAATTTTCTTTCTCTTTTTCTGTTTGCACATATCTTTATATCCTTGTCTTTCTTGATTACACACACACATGCACTCACCACAATTTCTGTCATCACTTGGATAATGGAAGTTTTATATGCTTGGGTGCTAAGCTATCTAAACTTAGAGAAATCCGAATGCCTAAGGACTTTTACCAAAGTAAACCTGTAAGATTCTAACCATAAATATTCTTCTTTTTCAAAAAATATTGCTTTTAGTTGTCCCTATGTTTAAAGTTTGCATAAAGTTCAAGTTTTCTTTCAGGTTGCTCTCTGTTAGTGAACCATGAATTCTTAATAAGAACCTACGATATGTAAAACCAATGGTGAGTTACTGAGACAGCTAATAGAGAAAAATTGGCCCCAATATCTGAACTCTTAAAATCTACTCTGATTCATACTTTCTCTTAGGAATCAAAGAGACTATTAGCTGTAAACCTTGATTTTATGAAAATAGAAAATAAAACTGTAAAACAACTCTCCTATAATTAAGATTATGATCAAGCATAAATATGAAGGATGTTGAGTTCTACATATTTCCCCATAATGACCATAGAACTAACTCTGTCTTTTAAGAAATCAGAAGCATCAACGTTACCTACTCAAAATGTGTTTTGAGGAAACAACAGTGTACGCATTCGAGAGTTTGCTAGAAATGAAGTCATGGGTTCCAACTCAGGCCTCCTGAGTCAGAGTTGAATTTTAATAAGATCCCCATGTGATTTGTTTTCACACTAAACTTTGAGAAGAGCTGTCATTGAGGATACAGAAGAATGCCTGAGTAACATTGGAGGAAATGAATGGAATATTTGATATTTTCAAGGTATATTTAGAGTTCCTTGAATTTTTAATGAAAATAAGCAGTTGCTCTTATACTGTCAAGAACATATCTCTGAGAAGCTACAATCCTATTGACCTCATAGTACAAAATAATTTACAAAACTGTCTAAGGAAAATGTGTCTCAATTTGTTCTTGAAGCCATTCAGCCATATGCATGTTAATCAAATTGCCTTTCTCCTTACGGATAGAAAATGACAATCAGGATTAATCGTCACCTCCTCAGAATAAAGAGTAAAACAATTTCTTGCAAGTCTGACACTTGGAAGAAGACTATATTTTCCAGGTCCTCAAAATCTATTTTTGTAGGAATAACGCACCATACTGTATTCAAATGAGCACCAAGATTTAAAACGATTCTTTAAATACTCAATGTACAACTCAAGAAAGACTCAAGATCCAGATAAAATGTATAGAGCTGCTATGGAGTTGAATATTTGAAAATAATAATTTTCAATGTCATATGTAAAAAATAATATATATTCCTGTACAATAGATAATATTTATTTCATTTAGGTTATGATCTGTTAAGTAGAAAGAGCACTGAATTATATGCTCCCCTAGTGTGGGCATAATATCTATTTGTAACTATCCATTTTACTAAATAGATAATGGATATGCAGAATAAACATGAATATAGTAACTATGGCTCTCTTTATGATTCCAATGGTCATCCCTAATTATTGTTTATAAGATAGTTTCCTTATTTATCAGTGCAAATCTGTAATTTGTGAGGATTCCTGTGATGCCAATGTGACTATTACCTAATATTTTATTATGCCTTCCTCAATGTTTTGTAATACTTAACTCAATATCATTGCCTAATTAAAAAAAAAATGTTCCTAGAAGTTGTCTCATATATAAGGATGACATGATGTTTTATAGTTTTGAAAAAATTTCAGCCTATTAGAGCTTTGCCATGTAGAGAAAAATTTAAAAAATAAAATAGTTATTGCTGAACTTAGGTGGCAGTATAAACCAAGGTTGCGCCTGGTGAGTTCATGGCAAGGAAGACTATTGTCTCAATAGTTAGTAAAGATAGAGAAAATAGTTGCCTGTCTTATTTAAAATAGCAAGAAAAACAATAATAGCAACAACAACAAAAACAAGTGGTATGTAGAACAATTGTATAGACAATCTGTAACGTTTTCTGACACCCTTGCTTCACACTTCCTTAAATAAATAAGGGTCTATGTCATCGGTCAACCCAACAGTCTTAACACTATATCCTAGCGCTTATATCTGGTTATAATTCCAAATTATATCTACTAATTGGTGATATCTACAAATTGGCATCTCATTTATATCCAAACTATTTTAAATATAATTACATGGAGAACCGGTATAGGTAAGAAAAGTACTTACAGTTGGAGTTTTAACATACATTGTTTGATCAAATGCCTAAAAATTCAATCAGAACTGGCACATTGGCTTGGAATCAAGAAATCAATAAGTCAGAGTTATGTAATAGACATGATTATATATTTTCTAATATCCTAAGTTTAATAAGTTTATTATGGACATTACTGATGTTTAAGCTTACATTGTTGAAAGATGTAAAACATAGTTGTTTTTGTCTTTAATCATATAGAATACAACGTCCTTACAGATTAACCAAGCTTCAGTTTACAAACTTACCTTCAATTAATTGAGCCCCTTTAAAAAGTTAAAATACAATCAAAAGTTAATTTTAAAGATATTTTTAGGTGGCAGTAGTTTAAAAAACCACTTCTTAACAGTTTTCTGCAAAATAATTTTTTAAAAGTTTTTTTTCATTTTGGAAGAAAAGACCAATTATGAAATATGTGCTTATATTTTGAAAAGGTGATGCTTACATATAGAAAGTTAATATAAATGAAATAATTTATTTTTATTACTATGTGAACTAATCATTTGTATGTTTGTTAATTTATTTTTATTACTATGTGAACTAATCATTTATATGTTTGTTGTGTATTTACTCAATTTCGTACTTTAGCTAAAGACTAGATTGCCTTCTAAAACTTTTTTCTAAATAAAGAGCAAGTAATCAGAGACACTTGTCTAATAGCATGTGATTTTTCTTCACACCCAGCATGCACCTACATGGCCTGGAAGCAAGGATTTTGACAGAGTAAACGGAGTAGTGTCTTCCTGAAAGGAAGAAAAATCAATGAATCCGTATTCAGCAGAAGCACCCTGTTGGTCTCAATTGTGCAGTGCTGAGCTATCAGTTTCCCTCACTGAACACTGTGCCTGGTACATTTACTTTTTAAAAGTGCTTTCTCTAGATAACAATAAAAGAAAGATAAGCATCAATATTGTAGGAAGTCCCCTGCATAACTTTCTGATAAACAAAAGTCAAGACAAAAATAGATCAAGCTGTTTCTTAGTGTAGTGTTTAGAATGAGTTCAGAATAATATTCTCAATACCATAACTCTATCTGCAATATCTGTGCAAATTTCCTGAATATATCTTTAAATATATTGTTTCCTTTACTTCCTTTATTTCTGGCCATTATAGTTATCATAAAATCTGAATACAGTCTTCAACAGTTTTCATCTTTATTCATATACAGGTTGTTGTAATACATGATATAAGCAAGGCTGTATAATACCAAAATAATTCGTACCTCAGTTAAGAGAGAAAATATATATCAAGCAGGAAAATCTTTGGAGAAATTTCTAAAGCTAGATAACAATAAACATATCAATGTTGATACAGGTTTGCTACAATATCCCTATTCACAAAATAAATATTTACGTGTCGACTCTTATAAGATAATGCATAAAGGAGGTATCTCTAACTACCTCTGGACCTCCACATAAAATCCCCGGCTATTCTATCCTGTCTTTATTCTGTTGGGACCAGGCAAGTTAAACTTACTCATTCCAGCTGTATTTGCAATGCCTCTTATCTCTTGCCAAGTATGGCTCTGATCTGAATACCTTTTTATTTGGACAAGACATTAAAGGTTCTTATCGCTTCCATTTCAAAACAATCTTAGAAATGTAGAAGAATTGAATTCAGCACTTAACAGAATGATGCTTTTTCCAATATTGTCCTTGAAATAACATCTGTAGCTTACCCTCAATGTTTTCTTCTCCCAATTCTGCTGTGGTGTTTTCACCAGCTAGATCACGTTAAAAATAACTAATATTTTTAAATGGAATATAACTATAAAACTAATTAAAGAATTGTTTTAATGTGGCCTACAGGTTTACATAAATGTTACAGAGAACATGCCATTGTAATTTGCTAATGTAACTAAAGGAGAACAAGATCAGCAAAGTTGCTCTGCAGTCATACATCTTGTTTCATCTGATTTTTTCATTTTTTCAATAAGACGTCACAATTTTGCATTATTTTACTTTTTAATACAAAATCCACAAATGTGAATTCATAGAGACTCTCATAGAATGTATACATTGGTAGATTATTATTATATTCAATTGTTTTTAATATTAAGTAACATTACATGGTAAATCATGACTTTTTACTTAATAGAAAGTAAGGTTTGGGTAATGAACATAAAATAAAAGTATCAAATTTTAGCAATTTTGTTATGACCCAGCAAAATGCTAATCTTACATTTTTGAATAAATAAACAAATTCTGGATTCTTCCTTTGATTTTTCATTAGGTTGATAATACAGCATGAAATTTGGGAACCCATTCTTCATTCAAGATATGAATCTTTTAAAAAGAATTATTAAGAAACATCTATGTACATTATTGTTTACTAGGTGATAAACAATGTTAAAAAATAAAAGCATCGCCCGGAAGAGACACAGCGCCGCGCATGCTCTTTCCTTTCCAGCTGCGGCCCCGGACCCTGCAGCCGCCGCGATGTCGATGCCTAAGAAGAACCGGATTGCCATTTATGAGCTCCTTTTTAAGGAGGGAGTCATGGTGGCCAAGAAGGATGTCCACATGCCTAAGCACCCGGAGCTAGCAGACAAGAACGTGCCCAACCTTCATGTCATGAAGGCCATGCAGTCTCTCAAGTCCCGAGGCTACGTGAAGGAACAGTTTGCCTGGAGACATTTCTACTGGTACCCTACCAATGAGGGTATCCAGTATCTGCGTGATTACCTCCATCTGCCCCAGAGATCGTGCCTGCCACCCTACTCCGCAGCCGTCCAGAGACAGGCAGGCCTCGGCCTAAAGGTCTGGAAGGTGAGAGACCTGCAAGACTCACCAGAGGGGAAGCTGACAGAGATACCTACAGACGGAGTGCTGTGCCACCTGGTGCCGACAAGAAGCCGAGGCGGGGGCTGGGTCAGCAACTGAATTCCAGTTTAGGGGCGGATTTGGTCGTGGACGTGGTCAGCCACCTCAGTAAAATTGGAGAGGATTATTTTGCAGTGAATAAACTTACAGCTAAAAATAAAAAAAATAAATAAATAAAAAATAAAAGCATCATTTATGTTAGAGAAAGCAGCTGCAGCAAAGCTTCTTGTTATCAAATGCCTGTGCTCCTTTTCTTACTTAGATATATGATCCATGACATTGGCCATGGCTTCTCACCATGTGCACAGAAACAGTTCCCGGCCTTCTCTGTGCTGGAGGTAAAAAGATTTTAAGGGAGGTGTTATCATTAGTATATAATGGGAGTGTCACTGAAGATGATTTTGTCATCAGCCTGGGAGATAAGCAAAAGAACTGACAAAAATCCTAGAAATTTAATAAAAATAAGAAATTTACAAATGTAATGACCAATCTATAAAATAATTGCTTTTTAACAGCAACAGATAATTAGCAAAAGTAACTAAAATTAATATATTCTCAGCAACAACAGCAACTTAAAAGAGGAATGAAACAACTGGAAGACTGGACCAAGTGGCAGCATACAGATTCTTGTCAATCACGCTTTATGTGATTGATGTAATATTATAGAAACCCACACTCCATAAGGTAACCTAAAAAATAAACTGATTATCAATAAAGATCCGGAAGCTTTCTTGAGTGATTTGCTAAACATTATAACATTTATATGAACTACTAAAAATATTTACTATGTCAGCTTTTTAAAAAAAAGAAAAGAGAGGGCATCTTTCCTTAGTAGTTAGTAAGACATTTTAATGTCATAGTAATAAAAATAATGTGGTGTTTTCACAATAATAGAGAAATAGACCAATGAGGCAAAATGGAAATCTCAGAGACAGACTCAATATGCATTAAATTAGGCATCATGAATAATGGGAGAAAAGATGAGATCACTTGGTAGAAGATGGAATAAACTATATAAAAAATAAAAATGCTTGCCTACCTCACACAATTTACAGAGAGGAAATTTTTAAAAATGTAATGAACACATGAAGACATACTCAACATCATTTGTAATCACAAACACTAAAAATAAAACAATAATTTGGTATCATTCTTCTCTTAGTGTTTCAAAAATTAGAAAGCTATTTTTTGTTTGTTTGTTTTCATTTTTTGTTTTTGGAGACAGAGTTTTGCTCTGTCACCCAGGTTGGAATGCAATGACGTGATCTCAGCTCACCGCAACCTCTGCCTCCAGGTGCAAGCGATGTTCCTGCTTCCGCCTCCTGAGTAGCTGGGATTACAGGTGCGCACCACCACCCTCAGCTAATTTTTGTATTTTTAGTAGAGACAGGGTTTCACCAAATTGGTAATGATAATCTGATTTAAGATAATGAGGATTGGGTGATAAGTATAGTCAAAGACTTAGGTAGAAAGAGAAAAAAAGCAGGAAAAATACTGTTTCAGGAATTGGCAAAACTAATTAACGTAATAGTCTCCGGCCACTGAAACATTCGGGGCAAACACATCACAGCTTTCCAAGTCCAAAGGGGAGGGCAAGTCTTTCATTCACATCAGGGAGGCCATTTCAGTTCTAGGAGAGGCCAGCCACTGCTGTCAAACTCCCACACCAAGAAACCCTACAAGGCTACACTTCTGCTCTAAGGTCACTGAGGATATTTCTACTTAGGCTTGAGATATAGAAATATTTAGCCAGAAAATAGCTGTAAACCTCCCAAACATTCAGTACCCAAGCCAAGTTTGAATTCCTGTTTCTTTTTTTCCAGATATCTTGAGGGCTCTATTCTGTCTGCTCATGTATTGAGTTAGGGTCTCAGACGCGGCTTCTGATACCAACCTTTTTCAACTTATCCTTGAAGCTTAGACTCCATTGGACCCTGCTGCAGCTCAATTATGTTTCCTGCTTCTATTGTGTGTGTGTGTGTGTGTGTGTGTGTGTGTGTGTGTGTGTGTGAGAGAGAGAGAGAGAGAGAGAGATAGCACAGCTTGTGGATGACCTATGTCAAATATACATATACACTGGGGAGGATATACATGAGGAAGGAACAGAATTAATTTGCACTTATTAATTATTCATTGTACAAAGAAATTTAGGTCTGAAGTGGGTACCAACCATCACCTACCGTAAACTTCAATTTATAGGTGAAGGAATTAGGCCAAGTAAAATAACCCATGTCCATTACGATCATACACTTAATTAACAGCAAATCCATAATCCCTTCAATGTTTTGACAATGCAGTGATCTTTCCTCTGTAGCAGAGAGTATTGGTCAAAATTCTCCATAGCACTAAATGCTTCAAGACTTGCCTAAAGGGACAAACAAGGCAGCCCTCCAGCCTCACCTCCCAGGATTGACTTGGGAAGATTTACTTACATTTGTTCTATCAATTAAGTTTTAAGAAATCATACATTTTTTTGTGAAATGGGAAAAAAAGTCATTGTACTTAATATTTGTCTTCTTGTACTTGCACAAAATTAATTCATTAATTTTGCATTTAATTCACATACTGCTATTTTAAAAATATGTCTATTTTTTATTATTTCCAAAAAATCTACCCCCTAGTATGTGATTAGCACTGTAAAATCCTGGAGCTACAATGATAACCTAGACATGGTTTGGGATCTCTATTTCCTTCAGGAAGAGATAGAGAGAAATAGACAATTAAGAATGATTTTTAAATCGATATGGTATATAGTATACATAGGAAGGCCACTTTACCTGGTTGAAGTATTTAAGGACTGATATAATGCAGAAATACAACGTATGAATAAAAGACAGAAACAAAGTTATTAGAAAAAGTGTTTCAAATAGAAGAACAAAACCTTTATATATCATGTTTTATGTCAGAGTGGAGCGTATTATAGAACCTAAAATTAAATCTGAAAGGATGTGGGGGACTGTAGGATCAGATCATGGAGCAAACTGTGGCATAGACAGCTGGAATATGAGTTTTGTCATAAGACTGATGGGGTTTGAGTCCTGCCTCCACAGAGAGTGACCTTGAAAGCGTACTTTAAACCATCTACATGTCCACTTTTTCTTCTGTAAAATCACGTTAGCAAGAGTACCTGCCTCATAAATTGTGATGGTGCTAAAGCATGCACCATGATAAGCATGCGCTAATTCAATGAAATAAAAAACTGGTAAAGAAAGCTGGCTGTGTATCCAGATGACTTTACATTTGTACCACGGCTTTGTCAGTCAATAACAGCATAACCTCAGCTAAGATGCTCAACTATATGCCTCCTCAATTGCTTTACCTGTAAAATGGACAATAGAATAGCACATTCTTCATCGCTGTCTTATGTCAATTACTGACTTTGTATGCATAAAATATTTGTAACATTGTCTCCACATAATAACTAGGCCAGGGTAGGCAAAAAGGCAGGATCAAGTGTTAGAATTAAAAATAAGATGGTCAGGGAAGGCCAGGCTGAGACAGTGACATTTAAAGAGACCTGAGGGAAAAGAAACCATGTGGGTATTTAGGAGATGAAATAAAAATTACACAGCCATATATTTCTGCTTACACAGGCAGATATTTAATGATTTTTTAAAATTACTTCTTCTACTTGAAATATTTTTTCTAATTTGTTTTCTGCCTTTTATTCATTCATCTTATCTCTGTATTATATCATTCCTTAAATATGTCACGTATGTAGGTATGTGAGGGGGTGGGGGTTTACCTGGCATATTTGAGAAAGGCCAAGGAAGACAAGAGCAGAGTGAGATTAATTATAATAGGTAATATATTCTGAGATATGAAAGAGTGCATGGAGAGGTGGTACAGATCACGTTTGAAATTAAAGTCACTGTAAAGATTGTAAGCTATTGTTCTGAGTGAAGGTATTAGGGTATTGGAGAGTTTTGTGCTGAAAGAGTAGTTAGTGATCATAATCACCAGCCACTTGGTTGGGAACAGATTAAAATGGGAGATGGCAAGGGGGTCCATGAGTAATCGTTGCAATATCCCAGGAATGGGAGATGGTTACTGAGAACAAGATGGTAGCAGAGGAACAGAAGGAAGTGGTCAGATGTAGGATATGTTCTGAAGACAAAGCTGATAGCACTTTTCCATAACTGGGATCTTGGCAAATGAGAAACAAGATATTATAATATTAAGTAACAGGTGTGATGGCTTGTAAAAACGGCCACAGTGGAATATGGCAGAACTGATATTGTACAAGCCCCAAGCCTAAACTTGTAAAGGTCTTTCAGATTCCTCTTTTGTTGCCCTTGGGGTACCTGAAACGTTGCCTTGCAGAGAAACTGGATCAGCCTGCTCCAAGAAGAGAATCACATGGCACAGTAGCTCTCAAGCCCCCCAGCAGCCAGCCAGTCTCCCCATGCAAAGTGTTTCACTGATCAGCAGCTGTCCAGAGACTGGCCAGAGAGTCGTCCAATGGAACTCAGCCTCACTTACCAGTCCATGGGATTGGGAACTAAATGAATGGATGTTTCTTTAAACCACAAAGTTTTGAGGTGGTTTGACAAGCTGCCACATATAATTGTTACAATGGATGATCTATACACTTTCTGCTGAATTTGGACCAGAATATTACTCTCAAATATTGTGACATATAGTAAAATTACCTACTATTTGTGAAAAAAAAAAAAAAAAAAAAAGGTGTTTACCCTGAATCCCTAAAGACAAGGGGAATGTGGGGTGTCATCTCAGGAACACTAAAGCCATGCCCGTGCCTGTTAAATATTTATGTGTCATTTACTGTAGGATCAAACTATAAGTACTTCTCAATGTAAGTTTCTAAAACTACATATTCTGAGTCAACTCCTTTCTCATTTGCCTAGAAGGCTTTCCCATCTTCATCTTGTTCTTTGTTCATAAATTCCCAACATCTCCCAATTTTCAGACTCCAGTTGGCGACTTCCTTTTAATTTCCCTGAGGGAGAAGAAGGGAAGATTCCAGAGAGAACTTCCTCCGTAACCAAGCAAGCTGTCTACTCAACAGCCTGGATCTTCCCTCATAAACCATAGCTTGCCTTCCTTTCTGTTACTTTAAATGAAGTAACCTAATTTGTAAAATCTAAGTCAGATCAGCCCAACTATTTCTGCACAGGATCTTACCTAACACTCACC